GTGTCAGTGGGAGGAATAGTGCCCCATCATTAGTATCAGTGGGAGGAATAGTGCCCCATCATTGGTGTCAGTGGGAGGAAAAGTGCCCCATCATTGGTGTCAGTGGGAGGAATAGTGCTCCATCATTGGTGTCAGTGGGAGGAATAGTGCTCCATCATTGGTGTCAGTGGGAGGAATAGTGCCCCATCATTGGTGTCAGTGGGAGGAATAGTGCCCCATCATTGGTGTCAGTGGGAAGAATAGTGCCCCATCATTGGCGTCAGTGGGAGGAATAGTGCCCCATCATTGGCGTCAGTGGGAGGAATAGTGCCCCATCGTGGGTGTCAGTGGGAGGAATAGTGCCCCATTGTGGGTGTCAGTGGGAGGAATAGTGCCCCATCGTTGGTGTCAGTGGGGGGAGGAATAGTGCCCCATCGTTGGTGTCAGTGGGGGGAGGAATAGTGCCCCATCGTTGGTGTCAGTGGGGGGAGGAATAGTGCCCCATCGTTGGTGTCAGTGGGGGGAGGAATAGTGCCCCATCGTTGGTATTAGTGACACAAATGATGGGGCACTATCCCTCCCACTGACACCAATGATACTTACCTTGCTGACTCCTGCTCCAGCCTGGGCTCGCTCTCTCCCTCTCCCATCTACAGCCTGCATACCTGGCTGCAGCAGCAAAATTTGCACTTACCTGTCAGCTGTCTTCCTTCTCTGGCCTCTCTCTTCACTCGTTCCTGCAGCTCCCTCGATCTTCTTCGATCTCCGCGCGCTGCCGCTCGGCTCCTCCTCTCCAAGCTCCACCTTCTCGCCGGTGATTGGCCGCCTGTATGAGCTACAGTTCCGGTGGCCAATCAGCGGCGAGGAGGCGGTGACAGGGGCAGCATATCATCCCGCCCACACATCGCCGGAGACAGGAGCGGCGTCTCGGTTCCTAAGACCATCGGAAATATGTGTTTTCCAATGGTCTTAGGCGACCCCTGGGAAATGGTCGTTCGACCCCCAAAGGGGTCGCGACCCCCAGGTTGAGAACCGCTGCTCTAACAGCATGTTGTATTTTAGATTGACGTGTTATAGCTTTAAAGGTGATATAAGATCCAGTGGGTATAATGCATACAAATGCAGATGAGTTTGTGATGTTGTCAGTACTAATAACCATTTTGGTGCTAGCCCTGCCCTCTGCTAGAAGGTGAGTATATATTAGGAAGAGGAAAGCTTCCTGGGGCTGGTAGGAGTAGCACCCACTCTGGGTGGATCAGTACATTGCAGAGGGAGGCCGGAAAGCATAAATCGTATCGCTTCTTCTTAAAGGTAAGCTGGAGAAAGCCAAAGGTAGATGTAGGCCTTGTATAATAGGCTTGTATATAATGGGAATACTTGGATTCTTTGAGGGATGATCTCTGGGAAAACCCTCTGCAGGCACAGGCCTTTTGTTTTGTCTCTGCTCTCTAGACTCTGTATACACAATTTGCATTGTTCTCCCTGTATCATGCTAACATTTTGCTATGAGCTATTCAGAACTGTAGGTTGTGTGCCCTCACCCTTCCTCTATCCCAGGGATCTCCAAACTTTTCAGTAACGGCCACATTGTGAAGTTTACAAACGTTTGCAGGCTGAAAAAAAACTGTTTTATACAGAGTCCCTCTTACATCCAGGAAAGCCCACCACAGTCCTCCCTTACATCCTTACATCCAGGAGTGCCCATCATAGTCCCCCATTAATTCCAGGAGAACCCATCAAAATCCTCCCTTACAGGTGAAACCCAAAACATTAGAATATCGAGCAAAAGTTCATTTATTTCAGTAATGCAACCTTAAAGGTGAAACTAATATATGAGATAGACTCATTACATGCAAAGCAAGATAGTTCAAGCCGTGATTTGTCATAATTGTGATGATTATGGCTTACAGCTCATGAAAACTCCAAATCCACAATCTCAGAAAATTAGAATATTGTGAAAAGGTGCAATATTCTCGGCTCAAAGTGTCCCACTCTAATCAGCTAATTAAGCCATAACACCTGCAAAGGGTTCCTGAGCCTTTAAATGGTCTCTCAGTCTGGTTCAGTAAAAATCACAATCATGGGAAAGACTGCTGACCTGACAGTTGTGCAGAAAACCATCACTGACACCCTCCATAAGGAGGGAAAGCCTCAAAAGGTAATTGCAATAGAAGTTGGATGTTCCCAAAGTGCTGTATCAAAACACATTAATAGAAAGTTATGTGGAAGGGAAAAGTGTGGAAGAAAAAGGTGCGCAATCATCAGGGATGACCGCAGCCTGGAGAGGATTGTCAGGAAAAGGCCATTCAAAAGTGTTGGGGACTTTCACAAGGAGTGGACTGAGGCTGGAGTCAGTGCATCAAGAGCCACCACACACAGACGGATCCTGGACATGGGCTTCAAATGTCGTATTCCTCTTGTCAAGCCGCTCCTGAACAACAAACAACGTCAGAAGTGTCTTACCTGGGCTAAAGAAAAATAGACCTGGTCTGTTGCTCAGTGGTCCAAAGTCCTCTTTTCTGATGAGAGCAACTTTTGCATCTCATTTTGATACCAAGGACCCAGAGTATGGAGGAAGAATGGAGAGGCACACACTGCAAGATGCTTGAAGTCCAGTGTGAAGTTTCCACAGTCTGTGTTGATTTGGGAGCCATGTCATCTGCTGGTGTTGGTCCACTGTGCTTCATTAAGTCCAGGGTCAACGCAGCCGTCTACCAGGAGATTTTGGAGCACTTCATGCTTCCTTCCACAGACAAGCTTTATGGGGATGCTGACTTCATTTTCCAGCAGGACTTGGCACCTGCCCACACTGCCAAAAGCACCAAAACCTGGTTCAATGACCGTGGGATTACTGTGAATCTATGGGGCATTGCCAAGAGAAAGATGAGAGACATGAGACCGAACAATGCAGAAGAGCTGAAGGCTGCTATTGAAGCATCCTGGTCTTCCATATCACCTTAGCAGTGCCACAGGCTGATAGCTTCCATGCCACGCCGCATTGAGGCAGTAATTGCTGCAAAAGTGGCCCAAATCAAGTACTGAGTACATATGCATGCTTATACTTTTCAGAGGTCCGATATTGTTCTATGTACAATCCTTGTTTTATTGATTGCATGTAATATTCTAATTTTCTGAGATTGTGGATTTGGGTTTTCATGAGCTGTAAGCAATAATTATCACAATGATGACAAATCACGGCTTGAACTATCTTGCTTTGCATGTAATGAGTCTATCTCATATATTAGTTTCACCTTTTAAGTTGCATTACTGAAATAAATTAACTTTTGCACGATATTCTAATTTTTCGAGTTTCACCTGTACATCCAGGAGTTTCAGGTAAAGTCCATCCTACATTCAAGATTGCTCATTTTAGTCACCCATTAATTCGAGAAGAATTCATAAGAGTCCTACTTTACACCATGGAATAACCCTTCAGATTCCTCCCTTACATCTAGGAGGGTCCATTACAGCCCTCCCTTACATCCAGGAGAGGCAATCAGAGCTCCCCCCTACATCTAACAGTGCTCTTTAGGGGGCTGGTGGAGTGTCATGGTTGACTGTTTGGTAGTGGATGCACCAGTCTCCATATTAAGATGGACAGACCACTGTCAGCCAGCAGGGGTATTTTTATAGACAGTTTCTGGGATGGATAAAATCTTGTAGTGCGCTGGATGTGGCCACGGGTCATAGTTTGGAAACCCCTGCTCTAACCTAAATGGTGACATCTTCTGGAAATAGTTCTCTCTGCCAGAACATAGCAGGGTCTCTTGGTAGGCCATGCCAGTAGTTGGTTGGAATAGGAACTGGGGTCTTGGTCATGCATGGCTAGGTTGCTTTCAGGGTGTCCCCTATGGATCTCCAGTGTGCCACTTGGATCTCCAGGTCACAACAGGTTAGAGAGTAGCTATTTTTCCCCATTACACAACAATACTAATGTGCTTTTTTCATGAAGAACAACAGATGAAATCAGAATGACACTTTTGCTTTTCTCTCCTTTAATTTCTGTATTTTGCTGCTAGACATATGATATATATCCCTGCAATTATTTCATATGTGCACTTGCCAAAACTATAATCTCTCTGTTTAGCCCCCTCTTTTGTCCATGTTTCATTAGCTCTACTTAATATTTTGCTACTGTAAATGAACAGTCCACACAAATTAAATGTAACCGTTCGCTTATAGGAATCGATTGTCTGAGGTGTTGCTTCCTATATCTCTTGGGAACTCGAGTGACTTTTGTAGCAAAGGCAGTAGCAGGTGTTTAGTCCCAGGAGCTTAAAAATAAAGATGTTCCCTGTGGAATATGAGTGCTATTGAAAAAGTGTTTTATCTTTTTAGCGCCTACCAAAAACTGCAATATCAGTTCCTTTATAACACACACACATACCATGGGCAGCACAGTGGCTTAGTGGCTTGCATGTCCACCTTGCTGCACTGGGGCACTTGGTTTGAATCTCAGCCAGAACACTGTCTACAGGGACTTTGGATGTTCTTGTTGTGCTTGCACGGAGGTACTCCAGCTTCCTCCCACACACCAAAAGACATGCTGGTAAATTAACTTGCTCCTGTCTAAAATGGCGCTAGTATGCCATTAGACTGTAAGCTTCTTGAAGGCAAAATGATGTGAACGTGTATAGATTGTTGGTATTGTATAAATATATAGCTGTAATAAATATCTTCAATTTTAGCTTGGATAAGAACATTACAGGCAAAGGAATTTAGTTTAAAACAGTGATGGCTGTATATTCTCATACCAACACATATTTTACCTTGATTGATAGTAACGCTTGTATAAAATTTTACTATTTTAATAATATTCTTTATTACAACTTAGTTGCTGTCACAAACACACGCTTAAAAAGTGAAGTGCATGTGAGCCCATGTAAGATAAATGTGACATTAGAGACTTATAGCTCTGAGCTATGTTACAGGGGTAGGCGTTCCAGGCAATAAAACAGGAGGAGAATGTTCTAATAAGCACAGAGCTCAGCTCCTCCTGACAGAGGAAGGATTGTACTGAAATGACAACGGTGAGTGTGTCTGCCGCACTAAAACCTACAAAGTCAACTAAAAGATATAAAAGTGTCAGGAGGAATACCAGCATCTACCAAGTCCCTCCACAGAGGTAAGCTTGGCATTTATTCACTACGTATTATATCTTCTATGCAATGACTGTAGTGGTATGGTAGGATTATCATTCAAGGATGTATGTCATTCTAAAATCAGTTTATAGAATAAGCTAACATTTAAAATGTTACTGTACAGTACACTCAAACATTTTATGCACTTTATCCTTTCAGTGAAATGGCTCGTTTAAAAATTGCACGGCTTTGTGAAAGTGATTATTTGAAAAAAATGTACAATAAAATCATATATCTTGTAAAGCATTGTCTAAAATTATATATTGTGCAAAAAACATTGTTAATGTTTGTCTATTTTCTTGTGTATATATGTATTATTATTATTATTATTATTATTATTATTATTAATAATAATAATAATAAAAAATAGAAAAGTGGCAGCAGAAAAAGGGCTAAGTGGTCCATCAAGTCTGCCCCCTCCCCCCTTAGTATAGATCTATGCTTGTCCCAAGTATGTTTGAATCACCTTACTGTACTCCTCCTCCTACTACTACTACTACTACTACTACTTTATAATAATAATAATAATAATAATAATAAATGATGTAATTGTTATTACTATTATTATTACATTGGTCATGAAATTAAACATTTTCAAGACATAAGCAACATACTGTAGTACATTTCAATGAACTGACAGATTCAGCACCTTGGACAGCACATGGTGTTTAGCTGATACTCTGTGATATCTATTAGGATGTTTACTTGAGTCCTCTGCTTTCAATTTGTTTGTCATCTAAATACATTTTTTTCAAAAATACCTTAGCAAGAAATAAAGCCATACATTTGAAACACCAATAACACAATTTTTCATCCTTTGCCTTTTAAAATGTTTATGCCAGTGATAGAATACTTCAAACAAGTTTCTCTTTTTTTTTTTGCCTGTTTTTGTTCTTGCAGCATTTCAGATGAAGATGAAAATGCAGAAGGAAAAGAGGAGAACAATGACCCAGAAACAATTTTCCAGAATATTCAGATGCAAAAGGAACTTGTTGCAAACATTCGATGTAGACCCTGGCCAATGCGACAAAAGCTGCGCTCACTCAAGTATGTTTTTAATTTATTGTAAACATTCCTTTTCTCCATTATGTATGTAGCGAATGCATAAAAAATATACAAATGGGCATACCATGCTGGTGATTATATACATATATGAGGCATAGATAGAAGCAAATAGGTCAATTAAAGTTACGTGTTAAGGTCCGGACGCAAGGTGAAGGATCAAAGAGACACTTGTACCAGGGATCCCCAAACTGTGGCTTTAGAACCACATATCACAGTTCTCAGTAGGTTCTCACAGTATTATATGAGTACTATGAGCATTAAAACAAGCTGATTGGACACACATAAAAGATGTATAAAAGTCTGGAAAGCTTGGATCACCTATGCTCACCCAGAAATTAATGTAACCAATTTACTTCTTTCTGATAGTATTGATTGCTATTAAGTGATAGATTCAGATTCCCCCTTAGCCATCTCTTTTCCCAACTGCCCCTCTTTTTTCTTACCCATTCATGTTCTGGCAATCCTTTTGCTTCCTTTAGTTTATCATCATTTGAATTCCAACCTATAAATTAGCCATTAATAAACACCTTGGTGGTTTACATGCAATAATAGGCATTTCTAACTTTTAAAACTTGGATATATTCATTTGTTACCACACTCATTGTTAAAACCCAAAAATATGTAACAGATTTAGATTTTTGTAGGAACATTTGTACTTGAGTACTTAATTTCTTTAGCTTTCAACCTTTGATTTTAAAATGAATGAGAAAAAATATCCATCCCCACTCCTTTGAATTTTCTCATCAAAACTAATGTTTTTTGACCCCAGTAACAATTACAGAGAATCAAACTGATGTTTTTAAAACAAAAACTTCCAAACAAAATGTTACTAGAATAGCCAGATTTATCTGCATTGAATTCAATAATGCAGACTACATTATTCAAAGTGTGATCTCTTGTTGTTTTTTTTTAGTTTTAACATTCGAAGAAAAAAAAATGTTCATTTTTTTATTTCATGATTTATGTTGTTAAAGCGGTAATAAATCCAAAAGGAAAACATTTATTATCTTGCAGCTTACCAATTCTTAGATGTGGTGGCTGCATTAGTTTCCTTTTTTAGGCTTTCTTTTTTTTATTTTCACCTGGTGTCCAGCCAGCAAATCTGTTTTTTTCACAGCACAAACTCTCCAGCAGAATGTATCAGCTTACCTAGATGAGGGTGACTAAAATGATCAGCTTTTATTTATTCATGCAAAACCTTTATCCCAAAAGGAAAAACTGTTTGCTGTGGAGTATGGATTCAATTTGTTAGTGGTTCTAAATGTACTAGTCCATCTAACACTTTCAGCTAACAGTAAAGAATCAGAAACCATCCTTGGCTGATCTTATTTGAATCGTGTCTGCACCTCATTATTGCTCTATTTTTTTGCTCTGCATTACTGAATAAGCCATACCAGTAAGTGTGGCTCACTGAAACTTTAATACAGCGCCATATGGAAGACATAGTTACATAGTAAAGTTGAAAAAGTCCGTCAAGTTCAACCGAAAGAAAAATAAATAAATAAGTCGATAACCTACATATATGGACCCCTAAACCCAAAGGTAATTCCTTCCAGATCCTCTTAAGGCATGGCTCTCCAAACTTTCTAAACAAAGGAGCAGTTTGCTGTCCTTCAAACTTTAGAGGGGCTGGACTTTGGCCAGTGGAGGTAGAATATGTCCTGAAAACAGTGAGAGTAAGTAGCGCTTCCGGTGTGTTTGTCACAAGAAGTAAAATAAACTAAAAAGCAGCTGTGGTCACTATCACTAGGAGGAATAGTGTCCCATTATTGGTATTAGTGGAAGGAAAATTGCCCTATTGTTTGTGCAAATGGAGGAATAGTGCCCCATCATTAGTATCCAGTGGGGGGAATACTATAATGCTTCATTTCAGTGGGGGGAATAGTGCCTCATCATTGGTATCCAGTTGGAGGAATAGTGCCTCATCATTGGTATCCGGAGGGAGGAATAGTGTCTCATCATTGATATCCAGTTGGAGGAATAGTGCCTCATCACTGGTATCCAGTGGGAGGAATAGTGTCTCATCATTGGTATCTGGTTGGAGGAATAGTGCCTCATCATTGGTATCCAGTTCAAGGAATATTGCCTCATCATAGGTATCCGGTTTGAGGAATATTGCCTCATCATTGGTATCCGGTTGGAGGAATAGTGCCTCATCATTGGTATCTGGTTTAAAGAATAGTGCCTCATCATTGGTAACCGGTTGGAGGAATAGTGCCTCATCATTGGTATCCAGTTGGAGGAATAGTGCCTCATCATTGGTATCCAGTTGGAGGAATAGTGCCTCATCACTGGTATCCAGTGGGAGGAATAGTGTCTCATCATTGGTATCCAGTTCGAGGAATATTGCCTCATCATTGGTATCCAGTTGGAGGAATAGTGCTCCATCATTGGTATCCAGTTGGAGGAATAGTGCCTCATCATTGGTATCCGGTGGAGGAGGATAGTGCCTCATCATTGGTATCCGGTTGGAGGAATAGTGCCTCATCATTGGTATCCGGTGGGAGGAATAGTGTCTCATCATTGGTATCCAGTTCGAGGAATATTGCCTCATCATTGGTATCCGATTGGAGGAATAGTGCCTCATCATTGGTATCTGGTTGGAGGAATAGTGCCTCATCATTGGTACCCGGTTGGAGGAATAGTGCCTTGTATCAGTGGGAGGTATAGTGCCTAATATTAGTGGGAGGAATAGTGCCCCAAGGAACAGAAAAAGGTTAGCAAAGGGCGGCATCTGGTCTATGGCCACAGTTTAAAGACCACTGCTCTAAGTCAGTCATATATTACCTGGATCAATGATCTATGGTGTAAATATGTAAATACTTATACATTCAACATAGTTTATTCTGTGCATTTAGAAATCTATTGCTTTTTTAAAAAAACACAATCAAAGTGATCTTTTATGGAAGTCTTTCCACATACCTCTTTTCCTCTAGACTCAAAGAGTGCCCTCCTCTTATTTCATGACCCTAAAGTAAGGAAAGAACAAAGGTCTCACTATTCTAAAGCAATATTCATGTAATTGCATAGTGAATATAGGAATCTAGGCTTATGTAGGTCTGAAAAAAATCTACAGAGTGTGAATTGCCCCTTTATTCATTGCTACATGCATCAGATAAAATCAATATATATTTAGAAGCCTGAGGTCGACCTGGTCTCTAATAAAAATAGTATTGCATTTTGTCTCCATCAAACAGACAGGCTAAAGAGATTGTGTTGAAGTATGAAGGACGGCTAACCAGAACACGAGGCTACCAGGCAGCTGGAGCGGAGGTGGGATAAGACTGATATCATATATAACATTTCCTAAGAAAAGCCATATACGATCAAATCAGTAGGAGGGCAAGGAGGGCCAGATTGTTGTGATGAATTGCTTTATCCATTTGCTTTATCCATTTGTAGTCATATGCAAAGGTTACACCCTAGTTTCCTAAGCTTATTCATCATTTGCGTTAAGGAAATTCATGATACATGATTAATACTTCTTAGTGCAATCTGTCTACACACAGTTGAAAGATCCGTTTATGGAGGGGTCCTTTAGGACTGATGGAGTATTGACTTATGACACATAGCCAGTTATCATGTTCACCGTCTGCTGTATGAGTAAAAATGACTTCTATATGCTGAAGTGTTAGCACTGAGACTGTTTCTACAAGCTTTATCTGATATACCCAGTTGATACTGTCGCTGATTATTTGTGAAAATGATTCTAGCTCAATGGGTTTGATTTAAGAAAGACAAATAGGATGTTTACATTGCAAAATAATTTCTCTTAAACTGGCTGTATACTATTAGATTTTTGCATGAAAATTTGTACACAAATTCCCAGTATATTTGATGGTTTGACGAATGTTGCTTAAAAGAAGCTCACGATTTAGTTTGCATTAAACATTCAATTTTGGAATAAATGGAATTTCTTGAATGAAAACCACATTCATTGTTAGAAATTTGTTCATTCAAAAAAAAAAAAATTCATCCTGATCCTTCGAATTTTCTTGTCACTGTGGTCACAATCGAATGTCTGTTTGACCCCACTATTGGTTAGAAAATGAATGAACATTCTTAAAAGGAAAATGTTTAAATAAATTCTGCTAATGTCTAAATTTAGTGAATGTGGTAAAAAGTAAAAAAAATACCCATGCACATGCAAAGAAAAAAAAACAGTATTTGGATTGATTGATTGATTGATTGATTGGATGATGGATGTCAGCATCGCTTCACCCTATTCACTAAGCTACAGAAACATTCACATTCCTATTTGCCTTTAGTAAACCAACCCCAGAGATCTCAAAAAAAAAAAAAAAAGAAATCATAGTAATCATATTTTTGCAGTTTTCTGATTTGCATGCTTTACAATTAGGAGTTCATGTTCAAAATGCATTAGAGATAAACGCACAACATTCATGGATTTTAGCCATTCTTGCTTGCTGAATACTAATAATTATCATTGTCCAGAAATAAAGGGAGTGGAATTTTTACAGGAATCATGGTTAGAGTGTCCTGGAAGGGAAACCTGTAAAGATAGAGCTAGGACAGCTGTCATTATTGACTTTCTATTTTAAATGCCAAGTCACTGACCTGGAACAAGAATGGAGGATGGTAGATAAGAATTTCAGACTCCACTGACTGCATAGGTAAAATATCCTAGACCCTCAGCACTGCTCCAAACCCACTCCTTTACCTTGTCTATGGGATGAAATGATGCTGGCTGAAGAAAGCCCATCTTCGCTCAACATTGGAAAAAATATGTGAATGAGAGCTTCACTCCAAACACTGCTTTTCTGGGTTATTTTGTTTGAACATCCATAAAGTAGCTGCAACCATGATGTCTCCACTCAGAAACCACCGTTTCCTTGACACACCAAAAAATGGCTTGATCACAAGGATAGGGTCCATCCCCTGCTAGCTCCATTCACTTGTATTAAATTGTGCCCTTTTAAGGACTACATATCCCATGATCCACTGCTGTAAAGCAAGGCCTCTATCTGATGCTCCAATTGAATCAAGCTCTCCTGCTCTCTATTTGCTCAAATTCGCTGCTGGAGAGGGGGGGGGTGCAGGAACAAGGAGGGGATTTCACACAGATACAAGTCTGCACACACAGTAGGGAAGCTAAGGGTGAGTGGAGGCTGCTGCTACACATTGACAATGGGGAGAGGGAAGTGAAAGGAGAGAGGCACATGTAGCTGGCAGCACACCTGGCTACACATATTTGAAGTGAATTCTGAATTATACGGCCAAGAATACATGAAGGAGAATGTATCAAAACTGGAGCAGCTGTGCATTACAACCAATCAACTTCAAGCTTTCATTTTCAAAACGTAACTGAACAAACTGAACAAGCTGAAAATAGCAGCTGATTCATTGCCATGCACTGCTATTCTAAATTCTGGCTGCTCCAGTTTTGATAATACCCCCACTCTTTCATGGTGTACTTACCTTATTGCATGGTATAAGTCTTTTGCTATCTGTATCAGTGTAAACAAACATCTCTCCCAATTTTTTCCATGGATACTTGGTGGTGATCATTCACTAAGGGGTTTAAGATTCATCATGCAATGGGGTTGATTTGCTAAAGACAAAAGAGTTACTAAATAATTTTCCCTGGAGCTTAGTGGATGAGGTGAGGCACTGCTGACTTCTATTATCCAATCATGTGCAAGCACAAGTACTGTTTTTATTCATTGCACATGATTGAGTATTCTTTGCAAAGCAATTTTTCTCCACATTCTCTAAGCTAAGTGCACAATCCCTTGCAGAGTGAACATCCTATTTGCCTTTTGTAAACCAACCAAAATAAATTGTGTTACTATTCACTTCATTTATCCAAGTGTGTGAAAAGGAAACTCCTGTTTCACGTATTTGCTTTTAACATGATTGGATAAATGAAGTGAATATTCACACAATTTATTTGTACGAATATTTCCACCTCCTGTAAATTAGGCCAGCTGCATTTGGCATCACAGATTTTGATAGTAGAATGTATGACTTGTGATAAAGGTACAGGATAAATAATATCAGATAGTAAAACAAACATTATATAGAACTCTACTTCAAAGCTGCAATTAATACAAAAACTAACCACTGAATTTTAAGTGAAACTTCAGTTAAATATCAAATCTCACTATTTAGTTCATATTAAGACTATATTTAAATATGAACTAAATATACAGAGGTTAGAAAAAAAAAAGGAAACACTACATGATTTGCAGGTGTGAAAGTGACAACATGTTTCGTGTTGAAAGTGGGAGTGATGTAACATTCTTCTGCTTCTGCTGTGTGAAGAGACATCTAGCTAACAGCTGGGAATCCTCACTTCTGTCATTCACTGCGTGTGCTGCTAGTAATATGGAGTCATGTCAAGGCTTACTGAGCTTTAAAGAGGGCAAATTGTTGGTGCCGCTTAGCTGGTGCCTCTTGAAATTGCCAATTTAATTTCTGGGTCACAAGGTACAGCATCAAAGGTTATGACGGCATATACAGTTTCCGGGAAACTGTCAATTCATAAGCGTAAGCATGGTCTCCTAGATTGTAAGCTCCAAGGAGCAGGGCTCTCCTATCCCTCTTGTATTGAACTGTATTGTTGCTGTATTGTCTCCCATTATATTGTGAGCAAACTGTTGGCGCTATATAAATCCTGTATAATAATAATAATAATAATAATAACATGGTCAAAAGAGACATGACATTGCACAGGATTACGACCCAAAATAAGAAAACAACTGCTGCAAAAGTGACTGCAGTGCTCAATCTCAGTCCCCTGAAGAGTGGTGAGGATGCACTGGCAAAGTAAGTATCTTGGGTTTGAGGGAGGAAACCATTTACAAAACACTTTCACTTTGTCCTGAATTGGAAAGAATAAGGTGTCACTTTAAAGTGACTCTAAATACAATTTAAAAAAAAGATAACAAACATGTTATACTTACCTGGTTTTACACAGAACAGCCCTGATCCTCCTCTTTTGAGGTCCCCCACTGGCACTCCCCCATGCTGAGTGCCGTCAAAGAAAGCAGCTTGCTATTGGGGCACTTGTGTGGGCTCACTCCCGAGCCGGCTCATTGACACACAGAGTGTGGCTCAGCCCCTCCCACCTCTCTCTCCTCATTGGCTGTGATTGAGTGCAGCAGGAGCTAATGGCTCCTGCTGCTGCCTCTCTGTCCAATGAAAATAGAGAGAGACAACAGTTTGTGCAACGCTTTACAATGTAAAGGTAGTCAGTACGAATACAATACATTTCAGTACATTAGGAATATGGGGGGCCTGCTCATGGAGCTTACAATCTAAAGGAAGGGTGAGGTGGTAAAAAAGCTGATAGCTGCAGGGGATGATCTGATGGAGGTGGCTCAAGTACAGTTCTTAGGTGGAGGTGGGTTAGGCTTCCCTGAATAAGTGTGTTTTCAAAGATCGCCTAAAGGTAGACAGGGTGGGGGCTTACCGGGCATACTGAGGTAGGTTGTTCCAGAGTATGGGAGAGGCTCTGGAGAAGTCCTGGAGGCGAGTGTGGGAGGAGGTGACGAGGGAGCTAGAGAGCAAGATGTCTTGGAAGGAGCGGAGCAGGCGATTTGGATGATACCTGTGGATGAGGTTGGTGATGTAGCTAGGGGCAGTGTTGTGGATGGCTTTGTAAGCTGTGGTTAGTATTTTGAATTTTATACGTTGGGTTAGTGGAAGCCAGTGGAGGGATTGGCAGAGAGGGGCAGCAGTCACTGATCGGTTGGTAAGGTGTATGAGTCTAGCAGCAGCATTCATAATAGACTGAAGGGGGAATAACCTGTGTAGCAGTAAGAAAGTGAGGAGGGAGTTACAGTGATCAAGGCGGAATATAACCAAGCCGTGGATAAGTTGTTTTATGGTGTCATTGGTCATAAATGGCATTTTGGAAATGTTGTTCAGGTTGAGGCAGCAGGATTTAGCCAGTGAGTGAGTGGATGTGGGGCCCAAAGGAGAGGTCAGAGTCGAGGATTACACCTAGAACCCTGGCATGAGGGGAAGGACCAATGGTTGTGCTGTTGATCTTAATGGTAAAGTCGCAAGTGGGGGATCGGGGAGGAGGAAATATTACAAGCTCGGTTTTGGAAAGATTGAGTTTAAGGGAGTGATGTGACATCCATACTGATATGTTACTAAGTAGATTTGTGATACGTGAGGAGATTGCGGGGGTGGATTGCGGAGGTTGGAACAGAGGGAGTCTAGGGACCAGGGAGCAAGAGCGCCAGTGGTTGTTGCTTGCGGCTCTTGCAGATGATGACCTTGGTAGGCAGAGTATCCTCTGA